GTGGTCCCTGGCCGGGAGGGCTGCCCGCCTGCGCTCGCCCGCTGCGGCACGTCGGGTGGGGCTGATGCCAAGGTGTGCGGCCTGGGGGCTCGTGAGGGGTGTTCCGACGCTGGCCCCCCCGACAGACGCGGGGACAGGGCCGCGGGGGCGGGCGGCGGGACGGGGTGGGCGCTGCGCTCCCTCCCCGCCCGGGCCTCCGCCCCGGAGAACCCCGCGCGCGCTCGCCCCCGCCCCCTCCGGGCCCCGGGCCGGGGCGGAGGGGTGGGGTCGCCGAGAGGGTCCTCCGGGCGGCCGGAATGTGGCCCGGCCCGCCCTCCGCGGGGGTGGGCGCCGTCTCGGCCGGGGGTGGGCGGGGGCCACGTGGCCGGAGCGGGCGGGGGGCCGCCCGGGGTGAGTCAAGCCGCAGCTGTTCCGGCGTCACATGAGGGAGTCGGCGGGGCGGGGGAGGCGGGGGCTGTGGGCTGGGGCTGGCGGCCGGGGCGGGGCGAGCTCGGGGGGCGCCGCTAGAGCGCCCCGGAGCCGCGGCCCGAGAGCAGCGCGCAGCGTCGCCGAGCGCAGGTGAGGCCGCCGGGCGCCCCCGGACGCCGGCCCGGCCCGGCCCGGCCCGCCCGCGCCTCCCCGGCCCCGGGACTCGACGACTTGGCCGAAGTTCCCGCGGCCCGGGCGGGGCGCGGGTGGGGTGTGCCCGCCCGCCGCGCGCGGCGGTCCGGGGTAACGTGGCAGGGGGGCCCGGCCGCGGCGGAGGGTGGGCTTTCGGGGCGGGCAGGGGTTGTGGGGGCCGGGGGCCGGGTGTGCGCCCGGGGGCCCGGGGACGTGGACCTTCCGCTGGGCTCCGCGGGGCGGGCCCGGGGCGGCGTCGGGGGCCGGCGGGGAGCGGGGCCCGGGGCCCCCGCTCAGCGCCCTGCCGTCCCCCCTCGGCCCAGGCCCTGCTGCAGCCATGGCGGTGGAAGGACCCATGAAATGCGTCAAGTTCTTGCTCTACGTTATCCTGCTGGCCTTTTGCGTGAGTGGGGGCGGGCTGCGGCGACCCGGCTCGGGAGGGAGCGGCGCCGGGGCAGCTGCGGGCCAGATGTGCCGGGGCAGCCCCCGGGAACCCGAGGGGAACCCGAGGGGCCCGCTCGGCCGCCCCTCCTCCAGCTCTGGGGACTTCGAAGGCTGGTTGGGCCGGCCGGGCCGCAAGACCGCCCTGCCCCCCCCCCCCCCCCCCCCGCCCCGGGCCCTTCCTGTCTGCTGACCCAACCACTTGTGATACCGGCCGTGAGTGGGGCAACCAGCCAACGGCCCGATGCTATCGCCGCGAGGCTTCCCTCTGCCCCCCCCCTTCCCGCGGGGCGCCCCTCGCTATTCCTCTCCACCCGGCTCCTTTCATCCCGCCCAGCGGCTGGGGGAGGGGGGCTGGGGGTGGGGACGGGCTCTGCTCGCTTCCCCCATTTGCTCTGCCCCGAGGGGGCGCACCACCGGTTCCTCCCCGGCCCCCCCAGGTCACCGCTGATGGGCACTGGGGGCCGGGGGACCAGCTCTTCTCGCCGCCCCGGGAAGCACTGCTCTGGGGAGGGACATGAGCCGCGGGGTCACGGCTTGCCCTTAGAATCAGATTGAAAGGCAGCCCGGGTCTTGTGCTGCTCGAAGGCCTTGGTGACTCGTGACCGCCTGCGTGCAACCTTCCCCGGCGGCCAGGGCGCGCCGCCCTCTCCTGTCCCGTCCTGCAGTTTCCCGGAGGTGTGGGACCCGAGTCTCTGACCGGTGCCCCGCGCACCACATTCCTCCCTGCCCTCCTTTCAGGCCTGCGCGGTAGGACTGATCGCCGTGGGGGTCGCCGCCCAGATTTTCCTGAATCAGGCTGTTAACCAGGGGACCACGGCTGGCTCTCTGTTGCCCCTGGTCATCATCGCGGTGGGCGCTTTCCTCTTCCTAGTGGCCTTTGTGGGCTGCTGTGGCACTTGCAAAGAGAACTACTGCCTTGTGATCACGGTGAGTGGGACGGCGGGGCTCTGCAGAGGCCAGAGCCGTGCAGGGATCCAGAGGGGGACCTTCACTCAGATTCCAGACCCCACACTCGTGTTTTGTGTCTGCAGTTTGCTGTCTTGCTGTCGCTGATCGTGGTGGTGGAGGTGGCTGCAGGCATCGCCGGCTATGTGTTTAAAAACGAGGTGAGCATTAACTAGGGGACAGCCCGGGTTAATGGAGAAACCCACATGCCCTGAATTTTATTACTTTTTTATTTTTGGTGGTGGTGGGGAGTCTCTACGATGCTGGCATTTGAATCCAGGCCTCCCACACAATTGGTCCTTTGAGCCATCTCATGATCCCAGGTGCTCGTAGGAATTTTTACTTAACACTGTTCATTTCATTCCTTCCTACTCCCAGATAATGTCGGAGTTTAATAAGGACTTCCGGAATAAGATGCAGGATTATAAAAAAAGCAACCAGTCGGCTTCGTTGGTGGACAATTTGCAGAAAAGAGTGAGTTGGGGTTGCTGGGAGCAAGGGGTCTTGGGGAGAGGGTTTTTTTTTGGGTCACACCCAGCAATGCTCAGGAGTTACTCCTGGTTCATACACTCAGGAATCGCTCGTGGCACCATACGGGATGCTGGGAATCAAACCTGGGTCTGCCGTGCAGAAGGCAAACGCCCTACCCGCTGTGCTATTGCTCCAGCCCAGGGGGAGAGGTTTTTATCTCCATACTTTTTTTAGTTTTGGGGCCACATCCAGCGCTACTCAGTGTTTACTCCTGACTGTGCCAGGTGGTGCTCAGGGGACTGTATGGGCTGCAGAGATCGAACTCTGGTTGTCCGAGTGCAAAGCAAGTGCCTGACCTGTTGTAGTAGTGCTCGGGCCCTGTTTAAAAACACTCAGCCTGCTCAGGGGTTCCTCCCTGCATCGTGTGGGGCTCTGCCGGGGTTTCCTCTGTGCAGAGCACAGAGCCCACCGTCTCCCACACTCTCCTTTCTCCTCCAGTTCAACTGCTGTGGGGCTGACAACTACACTGACTGGGCCACCGTCCCTACTATGCCCAGCAACCAAGTTCCTGATTCCTGCTGCCTGAATGTCACTGTTGGCTGTGGGAATAATTTCAAAGTGGCGGACATCCACCATGAGGTATGAGAGCTGGCACTTTGGAAGCCTGGGGACTATCTCAGCAGGAGGGAGGGACGGGGTGGAGAAGGCTGAGGTTCGGGGAAATTGGCAGTTAGGGATGTGGACCCCTCCTTGGAAGGTGGGGCAGATGGGAAACATAGGCCAGGGGCCATGCTGGGAGGTGTCTGATGCCATCTTTTGGGGTGCGATCACCCTGAAGGGCTGTACGAAGACCATTGGCTTGTGGCTGAGGAGGAATATGCAGGTGGTGACTGAAGCAGCCCTGGGCATTGCTGCTGTGGAGGTGAGAGGCATGCGGGGGTCAGTCCTGGGCACGTGGGGGCGGGCCAGCCCTGGTGTGTTGGGGGGGAACCCAGGGTTATTAGGTCCCTTAATAATATTAGGCTGTTCTGACCCCTCGCCTCTCCCACTTTCTTTCCCGCCAGGTCCTGGGGATTATCTTTGCCTGCTTACTCGTGAAGAGCATTCGAAGTGGCTACGAGGTCATGTAGGCGGTCTGATCTCTTCAGCCCCTGCATGTGGGGTGGGGTGGGGTGTATACTCCAGGTTTTTCAATTAAACGGATTATTTTTTCAGATTGAAAAGCGAAGTGGTCTGTGTCAGTTGTGTCTTCAAGAGGGAGATAGGCACACAGCAGAGCTTAGGTTGGGGGTGATGCTGGCCACTGCCCTGGGGGCCCTGGGACTGGGCTGCTCCAGGGAGCGGGGCGTGGCACAGCGATTGCATTTGTTGGCCCCTGTCCCATCCCTTTCATCACTGTCCTCAGGGTTCCTGTCCTGTTTGACCCCTGGGAAAGCCAGGCTTATTTGTAGGGATAGAGGGACTTAAGAAAGGTGGTTCTACTGAAGGTGTTGTGTGGGCTGGTAGTGGAAGTGGGGTCCAGAGGTGTCTGTGGCTCATCCTGCCTTGTGCTGGGACATTGATGAAGCACTAGAAGGTCTGAAAATTGGTCCTCAGGTGCTGGCTGGGAGAACCAGAACTGTGAGCATATTGGCCATTTCCCTGGCTTCTGGCCTGCTTCATTAACTTGTTTTTTTCCCCCTGGGTCACATCCAGTGATCAGGGACCTTATGGGATGCCAGGGATTGAACCTGGGTTGGCCTTGTGCAAGGCGATTGCCTCTTCCACCTGTACTATTGCTCTGCTGCCATCCTCAACGGGGAACAGGGTTGGGCCCCTTTTCAGTGGGGACAAATGCCTTGTTGACAGATAGCCATTTTTTCTTGAGGGGGCGTGTCCCAGGCAGTGCTCATGGGGCCTGGGGCCACTCTTATTTGATGCCAAGACCTGGATGTGGCACTGAAACCCAGCAGTGGTGTCACCAAGGCCACATCAGGCATTGCTGGGGGTCTGGGCTGGCGGGATGCCATGCCAAGGACCCCACGTGTGTCCTTGCTCTGACCCCAAGCTCTCTCCCGGCTGCATCTCCAACTTGGCTTAGGTGATAAAATTTTATAAAATTTTATTTTTTTGGTGGGTCACACCCAGCAATGCTCAGGGGTTACTCCTGGCTTTGCACTTAGGAATTACTCCTTGTGGTGCTTGGGGGACCATAAGGGATGCCGGGGATCGAATGCTGTGTTATCGCTCCGGCCCCAGGTGATAAAATTTTAAGTGGTTCTCCCGGCATTTTCCCCACGGCCTCAGATGGAGCCCTTCCCCCTCCCAACACTGAGCTAACAGCTCTGCATGGGAAAGCAGAGTTGCAAAGTGCCCTCTGGTGGTCACTGCTCAAGGTGCAGCTTTAAAGACGGCCTGTGACGGACAGTTCCCCTCTGCCCCCCAGCGGTGGCGTAGGGAGCTTGTAGGTCACTAACCGTACCAGAGACACTGGCAGTCCATCTCAATGGGCAGTTTCCTTTGTGCCCACCTCCTGTTTTCATGAGTTGTATTTATTGAGCTTTGTTTTGTACCAGGCATCAGGCAGTACCAGGGTGGGGTGAGAAACCCAAGTCCTTGCCCTTGAAAGACTTACACAGGGGCTGCTTTAGCAGATGGCCTGGGCAGGCTTTGGGAGGACCCAGCCAAGGACAGCATCCACCAGGCTGGCTGGCAGATAGGAGGCGGGCAACCAGAGCAGCCTGGCATCCCAGCCTGGGCTGTAGCGCGTTCTAGGGTGACGGGCGGTCAGGGCATGCTCCAGGCATCTGGTCACCTTGGTCAGGTCGGGGTCACAGATCAGGCTCATGATGTGCTGCTGGACTTGCAGGTCTGTGACGCAGGACGGGGCCAGAGTCAGTGTCCCTGTCCCCCACTAGCCTGGCTCAAGCCCCATCTTCTGGGTCCTGGGCCTCTGTGATCCCAAACGCTAGTGGTATCTACGGTCCCTTTCCCAGCCTGAGTGCTGGGCAGGGTCCACAGGCCTGCATACTCCCTTCTGGGGTAGCTCCATTGGCCCTCACCCCTTCCCTGACTGCCCTGCCCGTCGTAGGACCGGTCTGGCCCTCGAGTAGCTTCATGGCCCCCCAGTCCCAGCGACTCACACTTGGCAAGGAAGGCCTCCCCGTAGCGGGCCCGAGTGGCTGGAGCCAGCTCTGTCCAGCGCGCCTGCAGGGTGGTCTCCAAACTCTCCTGGTTTGTCATTGCAGTCCGGAAGAAGCCTGGCTCCACAATGGAGACTCGTACCCCAAAAGGGGCCATGTCCCTCCTGGAGAGAAGGTTTCTGGGTTTTATGAGGTAGGGACCTTCAGGGACGAGGGTTCTGAAGGGAAGGTAGCCCTGGAATCAGAGGTATCCCTTGACCTGCTTTCCTGAGTATTCTTTGTATTTCTGGATAGTCCCTTATATGATCAAGTGCAGAGGTCAGCAAACCAACTTTTAGGTATTACTTATCAATATTACAGGTTTTTTTGGGGGGGGCACTCAACTGTGCTCAGAGTTTACTCCTAGCTCTGTGCTCTGGGATCACTCCTGGCAGAACTTGGCACCATGAGATATTGGGGAATTGAACCTGGTTGGGTGTATGCAAGATAAGCGCCCATCAACTGGCCCCTTACATAGGTTCTTTCTCATTTAAAATGTAAATACTTTGACATGAAAAACATGTTTATGTTGGGCTTCTGCTGTGACCACAGGAGACCACAGTGGCAGATCAGATGGGGGGCCAGCCGTGCACTTGTGCCCCTTGTTTTTTTGTTTTTTTTTTTTTGCTTTTTGGGTCACACCCGGCGATGCACAGGGGTTACTCCTGACTCATGTTACTCAGGAATTACTCCTGGCGGTGCTCGGGGGACCATATGGGATGCTGGGAATCGAACCCGGGTCAGCCGTGTTCAAGGCAAATGCCCTACCCGCTGTGCTATTGTTCCAGCCCCCCTTGAGTCTTTCTGGGCCCTAAGAACAGCTCTCCCAGGGGCTGGAATAAGTCCAGCGAGCAAAGTGCTTGCCTTGCTTGCAGCAGACCTGAGCGGGCAAGGGGGTTTGATGCCAGGCATCCCATATGGTCCCCTGAGCAACACCAGGAGTGGTTCTTGATGCAGAGCCAGGAGTAGCCCCTGAACACTGCCGGGTGTGGCTCTCAAGCCAAAACCAAACCAAAAAATTAAGTTCACGCACAGTTGGATAACTCCTAACCTAGGAGAACCCCTTTTGCTAGGTTCCTCGCCTGTGAAGCCCTGGGTTTGATTGCCCCCCCCCCAAAAAAAATAACACCCCGCCCCCAACAAACAATAAGGACAAAAGTATATACTGAAATTATCTTCTGAGTGGTGGTAATAGAGACTAGCTTCCTTCAGAAGCTGTTCAGAGTTCAGGCACTGATCCTGGGCCCAGTCCCTCAAGTCTCCTTTTGTAATCAGGTGGGGTATTAATGTCTAAAGATGAGAGCAATAGTACAGTGGTAGGGCACTTGGTTTGCACATGAACCTGGTTCAGGTTCGATCCCCAGCATCCTCTATAAGCACTGCCAGGAGCAATCCTTGAGCATTGCCAGGTGTGGGCCCCCAAACAGATGAGGAATAAACAGATTAAGAGGACAGGCGAGCTGGGATCAAAAATTGGGCTTTGAGGTTGCAAGGTCAATCCCTTATTGTCTCCTTTCTGAGCTGGAGAGATGTTCAAAGGGCTGGAGCACCACCTTCCTGGAGGAGCCCTGGGTTAGGTCCCCAGCACCACTGGGTCTCTTGAATACTCATAAGAACCACCCTGAAAGTCAGATGGGGTAGCCCCTGAGCGCACAGGGTATGGCCCCAAACCAAGGAAAAAAAGTCTGAATAGTGTCAGAATATTCTGAGCTGTCCCAAGCTTGGTGGGGCGGTAATGACTCAAGGAGGTGCTCCCCAAGGGCTGGGAGCCCCTAGCCAGGTGCCCTCACCTCAGACTGTCAGAGAAGGCCTCCAGGCCGAACTTGGAGACACAGTAGCCCCCGCCATTGGCTGCCAGGCGGCCCAGGACGCTGGTGATGTTGACCACCCGGCCCCGGGCCTGCTGTAGCAGGGGGAGTAGGGCCAAGGTGACGCCGATGGGACCCAGGGTATTCACATCGAGTACCCGCTGGAAATCGTCCCGGGTCAGCCAGGGCGTGGGCCCGATGATGCCGGCCACCGCCGCGTTATTCACCAGGCCGAAAAGCCCTGTGGGGACCAGACAGGCTGGTGGGTTGGTGGGTCGAGGCTACACTCCCATCCACAGCCCCCACCCTCCTTGCCCGCTGGTCCAGCCACTCACCCGCGCCCCCGACTTGTGTCTCCACCCACTTGGCCGCCTGCTGGACACTCTGGGGATCGGTGACATCCAGCAGGGTGGTTCGGAGGCGGGAGGAGGCCACTCTCTGCAGATCCTCGGCCCCCGAGGGGGTCAGGCAGCTGGCCAGCACCCGGAAGCCTCGCTGGTCCAGTCTCAGTGCCAGAAGCCGCCCGAAGCCCGAGTCACAGCCCGTGATGAAGACGAAGGCGGAGCTGGCAGGCAGGCGCCGCCGGTCCCTGAGCAGCCACAGCGCTGCCCCGAGGAGGGCGGCCAGCAGCAGGAGCAGCCACATGGCCGGGGCTCAAGTGACCTGTAGGTGGCGGTCGAGGCTGGGCGCGACAGCTCACCTGGCCAACTTAGCCACTCAAGCCCTTTCCCCCCAGTTCCTCCCCTTCTGGCAACCTCTGGTCCAGAAGGCCGAGGAGTGGTTCTCGTGGCAGATCGAGACAAAACACTAGCAAACAATGGCCCACCGGAGAGCACGGTCGGAGCCTCCATCTGTGCCGACGACTGCACATGAGCTGCCCCCTTTGGCAGGGCTGCTCGGGTTCAGGGGTGTTCCCTGGCGGTCCTGAATGAGGGCATCCGGATGGATGCTGGGGCACGTACTGGACTGAGTCCCCCATCTCTGTCCTGGTGGCCCCAACCCAATGTGATACTGAGCGTCTCACTGCATCTCTGAACAAGTTATTTTTGTTTGTGTGTGTTGGTGGTGGAGAGCAACCTGGTAGTGCTCAGGAATCACTCCTGGCAGGCTTGGGGGACCACATGGGGTACAGGGACGGAACCTAGGTCAGCTGTGTGTAACCCTCAGTCCTAGCTCCAGCCCCTGGACCCAGTTTTCTTAACCCTGTGGGGCAAACACCCCTGTGCCCTCCTGGGAGCTGCTGGAGGTCAGAGAGGCCAATGAATCAGGAAACACTGAAGACTGGACTGCCCAGGGACCAAGTCGGGTGTGGGGAGGGGGCTCTGGCCTGCCTCGGTGCCAGCTCCAGGCCCCGGCTTACCTCCTCTGGGACGGGCTGGAAGGTACCGCCGTGCCTGCAGCTGCACCTTCTGCGGCTGGAGACACTTGGCTGCTGGTCTGCCTGAGCCCGTCCCAAGTCCACGCCAGTGGACCCGAGGCCAGAGGTATTAAGTGCGGGTGGGGGTGGGGGAGAGGAGGAGCCTGTGGCGGAAGTTGGGCCTGCAGAGGCCCTGAGGGGCCCCTTCTCCCACCTCTCTGACTCCCCGCAGGAGGGGTCTGTTAGGGAGGGCGGCTGCTTGTCCCGGTTCCCCTTTCCAGCCCCGAAGTGCCTCCGGCCCAGGAGCTAATCTCCCATGGGCTCATGACACAGCTTAGCATGGAGGCCCCAAGGCTGGGAGCGCGTGGAGCGGCAGAGAGCCAGAGCCCGGACCCGGCTGCCCCCCGCCCTCCTGTCCCCCCCTTGGGAAACTGCTGCTGCGAGGCAGGAGCTTGAGGCCCACTAAGACCTTCCTGGGGAAGGTGAGGGGGTGCCGACTCTCACCCTCACTGCCCCCACCAGGCCCCGGGAGGAAACAAATGTCCAGGGAGTGAGCGTGCCAAATGCCCCGACGTCCTCCCCCGCCCCCCCAGTGTGTACCAGACTCCCAGGGCAACACCCAGCCCCCCCTTCCCGGGAAACAATTCGCTGAGCATGGAGTCTGTGTTTTATTCAGGCTGCTGGGCCTCTCCCTGGCCCTGGGGGTGGGGGCGACAGGCAGGGCAGGGCAGGACAGAGTGGCTAGGAGGGGGCGGACTGCAGCTGGCCTTTGTACACGTACTCCAGTGCTGTGGCAATGGTGCGCATGTCCAGCTCGATGCTCCGAGCCCAGTTCTCCACATCCCCGATTTCCTGGAGAGAAAAGGAGGTTGGGGCCTGCGATCAGCATGGGCAGAGTGGCAGCGGGGTACCCCCAGCCACCTCCTACAAAGGGTTTCGCTGCACCCACCCAACTGCATCTTTCTCCTCCTCCGGCTTCCCGAACTCTGGGGCCAGATGTGGGGTTTCTGGGACAATTCCCACGTCCCACTTAATCCTTGGCCCTGGGGTGATCCACCCGGAGGCAGAGTGCAGGGCTCAGGGCTGGGGCCTGTGATGCGGGAGCGACACCCACCTTGAGTGCCTGATTGAAGTTCTCCACCATCCCGATCCACTGGCCTGTCTGCTTGGCAAACTGGGCGGCCTGGACCTGCAGGGTCTTCACCTCATGGTCCAGCTTCCTCTGGTTCATGTAGGCCTGAGCGACGCTACGGGGTGGAGCAGATAGAATGTCACCTGCCTAACTCCTGCCTAACTCGCGGGGGTGGGGGCTGAGATGGGAGAGGGTGTCACCTGCCTTACTCAGGGGTGGGGGTTGGAGGGTGTGTCACACTGACTCCCACCACAAGGTGGGAGGAGGCTGGGCAGGAGCGATACTGGGCTCTGCCGTAACATGAAAGACTCCTCGCAGAGGCAACTAAGGTCTCCCTACCTCCAGAACCTATCCGACTAAGAACCATCTCCTACTCCATTAAAAGGAATTCCCAAAGCTGGGAGGGAGAAGAGAGGGTTAATCTGGGTGGGTGGAAGTGGTGCTGGGAATCCCTGAGAAAGAGGGAATGTATTCCCCCCAGACAGCTGCAGGAACTGATGGAGTGCATGCTTTGCATGCAGTGGGTCTGGGCTTGATCCCTGGCACTGCGCAGTCCCCCAGAACTTCGAGGAGTAGCTCTCAGCACCCCTGGATGTGGTTCCCAATCAACCAAACAAAAGGGGAAAAAATAATTTTTTTTTTTTTTTGCTTTTTGGGTCACACCCAGCCATGCTCAGGGGTCATTCCTGGCTCTGCACTCAGGAATTACTCCTGGCGGTGCTTGGGGGACCATATGGGATGCCGGGGATCAAACCCAGGTTGGCCGCGTGCAAGGCAAACGCCCCACCCTCTGTGCTATCACTTCGGCCCCCGGAAAAAATAAATTAAAAAAAAAAAAGGGAGTGTGGGGGAGCTGAGGAATGTGGCAGTGACTGAAGCCTGGAAACCCGCGGAAGAAGCCTGGGAAGGGACCGCGGGCCCCGCCTGAACCCAGGGTGGCTGGGGAGAACGGCCCCTCCCCAGGAGCTTGGGTCAAGGGAAGATATCCCAGAGGCGCCTTCCTGGCTCTCGGCTCTCCCAACCCTCTCTCGCCCACGCAGACGTGCACTTTCTCCCTTCCTTCGCAAGAGTTTTTTTCTTCAATTGCTCTGCTGGCTGTAGGAACCATTCCTGCCCTGAGCTGGTATTCCCAACCCTCAGCCTGCGGCCTCCCCAATAACTGTGCAGTAACTGTTCTCCCTTATTGGCTGCTCAATCTTTCACTCCCTGCCCCAAAGCTCCAGGCCAGCTGTTAGCCGCCACATCCGGTGCCCCCCACCCACTGGAATCTGAGGGGGCAAGGGGTTGCGGCGGGTCAAGAGAGTGGGCAGGACACCTGACGAGGGCTGAGAGAGAGGGCTGAGAGACTGAGCCTTTGTTTGCCTTCGCAGGGAGGGCCACAGGCAGTGGGCAGTAACACAAAACCCTTTCTAATCTGGCTTTGGCTTAGCTCCTCTCGAAGCCCAGAGTGGGGTGGCGCCCTTGCAAAGGCAGAGGAGCGGAGAAGCCTGGGTCAGACCCCCCGCAGAGCAGGGCACACCACTGAGGTGGGAGGAGAGTGGGCCAGACAGCTGGGCCAGACAGGGGGTGAGGCTGGATCTCACACAGGACAGCAGAACCGTATTAACACAAGGGGAGTTTCCCGAGCTTCCCAGCATCCCCCAGGGGTTCCTCAAACCCTTGTTTCCCCTACTGACGTTCTACTTTTTTATATTTCGCCCCCCGCTCCACCTGACTGTGCTCAGGACTTACTCCTTACTCTCAGGGATCACCTCTGGAGAGGCTTGGGGTGCCAGGGATTGAACCCGGTTTGGCCACGTGAAAGACAAGCATTCTACTTGCTGTACTTGCTCAGGCCTTTTTGTTGTTGTTGTTTGAAACTCACAATGAGTGAAGGGAGAGGCTGGAGGGGAGGGGGATGAGGCCCCAACACAGCCCTCTGTTCTCCTAAGCATGGCATGAGTAATGAAGAAGAGAGCCCCCCCTAACAGCTCAGCGGGGTGACTCACCCTCTGGACTCAGAACTCTCTGGGTTTAGCTGCTTTCCCGGCACTGGGGTGCAAAGCCTCACGCTGCCTCCTTCCTTCCAACCTAGCGAGTCACCATCTCTGCTGGCTTTGGGGTCACTTGGGCTTACGAGACAACATGCTTTGCTCCTTCCCGGGTCTTTGGCTACTACAGTCGTGCCCATGTGGGGCTGTGGTAGGGGGTGGTCGGGGGAGACAAAGGCGGCAGGGAAGAGAAGGCCTGCTGGCTCTGCTGATGCTCCTGGCACAGGTCCTCGCCCTCACCCTTCCCAGCTGTGCCATCATCCCTTTCCTGCCAGCTGCTCCCTGGGTCTGCCAGGGGGTGGTGAGTTGTGGTGAAGAAGGAGGCCTTCCCTTCGGGTGCAGAGACAGCTGGACAGCAAAGGGAGGGAGGCAGATGGCATCAAGCTGTGGGCACCAGGGTGGTATCTGGGAAGGGTAATCCGGCTGTTCCTCCTGCTGCGGCAGCTGGTCCTTCCTGTCTGATGCTAGGGGCAGAGATGACTGGGGGTGGGGGAAGGGCAGTGGAACATCTCAGTTCCCCAAGAACAGACCTTGCCCATAACCAAACTGGTGTGTGTGTGTGTGTGTGTGTGTGTGTGTGAGGTTCATACCCCACATTGAGATGATCCACCAAGGCTTCTGTCAGGCAGGTCGCTGCAGTGATGGCCTCTCGACGCCTCTTCTCTGGTGTGGGGGGTGGGGGGGAGGTAAGAGAGGAGGGAAAAGGATGTGAGAGGAGACTTGGGTTTTTTGTGGGATGATCCTCAAAAATCCGCTCCTGACTATTTTGCTGGTTGTGGGACCATCTTAACTCAGCCCTGCCAGAACTGGAAGCACTGTGGCACTGTGCTCCCGTTGTTCATCGATTTGCCCGAGAGGGCCCAGTAACGTCTCCACTGTGAGACTTGTTGTTACTGTGTCTGGCATATCGAATACGTCACGGGGAGCTTGCCAGGCTCTGCCCTGCGGGCGAGATACTCTCGGCAGCTTGCCGGGCTCTCCGAGAGGGGCGGAGGAATCGAACCCGGCGCGCATAATTCTGCAAGAACAGTCCTAGTCCCTTCATGCCAGCGGTGCGGGCGTGGGCATCCTAAGAGCGACCGTGACCAGCCCAAAGACGCTGAAGTCAGTGGGGGCGCCCGGGACTGAGACCTCCGGGTCGTCTTCCCACGGTCTCGGGCTTTCCAGTCCGGATTCGGCAAACGCGGGCCCTTCCCACCCGCCCTCCCCCGCCTTCCAATCGCTGGGATTTCACGCCTCCAAGTCGAGTCCCGTCTTTTCCTGCAGGCCAGCATTCCCGGCCAGACGAGCGGGGCCCTGGACCAATCGGCGCAGCGTCTCGGCGCCGGGGCGGGACTAGGCGGCCGCGCGTCGGGGCGTTACCGAGAGGGCACCGGGGTGCAGCTAAGGGGCCGGGGCCCGCTGGCCGGAGCAGCGTCTCCCCGAACTCCCCCCGACTCCCCCACCCGTGCCCACGGAGCTCACGCCCGCCCCGGCATCCGGGCCGTTGTTCGAGGCCCCGGCTCCGGGTGGGGCGCGGCGGGGCAGAGGCTGGGCTCACCCTGCAGCTCCTTGCGCTCATTCTGCTTGGCCTGGTGCTCCTTCAGCAGGCGGGACAGCATGGTCGCGCCCGGGCGGGGGGCTGGCCACCTCCCGGCCCCGCTGCCTCCCGGAGCAGGAACGCGCCGCTCACCTCCAGCCGGGCGCGGGTCACGTGACCGCGCCGTCACGTGACGGGGGACCCGCCCCCTGCGAGGAGTCGCGTGGGCGTAAACGTTCCTACCGGGGAGGGAGGGGCTAGGGACAGGTGCGCGCCTGGCTTTACTAGGTGCTCACTTTTTCACTATTCCGTTCTATTTATTTATTTATTTGTTTATTTGGGGCCGGTCATGCCCTGCTCAGGGTTTACTCCTGGTTTTGCACTCAGGAATAACTCCTGGCGGTGCTTGGGGGGAATCATATGAGATGCCCCATTCGCTGTACTATCTAACTCCGTGAGGTGCACTTTTTACTGAGCGTTGGAAGAGTTTTCTTTAGTACCTGTAGTGCAGAACCAGTTTAAATATTTTATATATAATGTATTTTGGTTTTGAGGTCATACCCGTAACACTCAGGGATTACACTTGGCTCTGCACTTAGAAATTTCTTCTGCAGTGCTCGGAGCATCCAACCTGGGCTAGCCACGTGCACAGCAAACGCCCTACCCACTGTCACTAGCTCTCTGGCTCCAGAACCAGTTTTTATTTCATTTTTAGTGAAGCGAAATTGTTTGTTTTGGGGCCACGTTTAGCGATTCTCAGGGCTTATATGCCTGGCTCTGCACTCAGCGATGGGTCCTGGTACGGCTGAAGAGACCATCTGGGGTGCTGGCAGTTGAACCCAGCTTGGCTGAATGCCAGGTGAAAGAAGAGTTTTAATTTTTTAAATTTTATTCGGTCACGGTCCTCCCGTTGTTCATCGATTTGCTCGAGTGGGCCCAGTAACATCTCCATCATGAGACTTGTTGTTACTGTGTTTGGCATATCAAATACGTCACGGGTAGCTTGCCGGGGTCTGCCGTGCGGGCGAGAGACTCTGGGTAGCTTGCCGGGCTCTCCGAGAGGGGCGGAGGAATCGAACTCGGGTCGGCCATGTTGGCCGCTTGTAAGGGAAATGCCCTACCTCTGTGCTATCGCTCTAGCCTTAAATTTTATTATCATTACTATTGTGATTATTATTTTGGCTTTGGGGTCACACCTGGTGGTGCTCAGGGATCACTTACGGTGGGTTCGAGGTGATAGGGAACTCCCGATCCCAACAGAGGGACCATATGAGATTCTAGAAATCAAACCCTGGTCAACCACGTGGAAGGCAAGCTCCATATCTGCTATACTATTGCTCTGTCCCCAGCAAGATAGTATTTTTCTTTTATTTTTTAAAATTTTTATTAGTGAAACACCATGAGGTCCAGTTGTAGACTTACAAATTTTTGTGCTTGGGTTTCAGTTATACAATGATCGAGTACCCATCCCTCCACCAGTGCCCATTCTCCACCACCACTGAGTTTTTTTTTCTTTACCAATGTGTCTCCTCAACCCAGATATCCCACCCTGGGACATGAGCCCCCTTTCTTTCTCTGCAGGGGTTGGCAAAGGAGGAGGGAGACAGAGATAGGATTGTGGAGGGGGAGGAGAAGTGGGGGGAGAAAGGGGAGAGGAGGAAAGAAAAAGAAAAAATGAGAAAGGAGTTAAAGGAGGTGAGAAAGAGAAGGAGAAACAGAGAAAAGAGAAGGGAAAGATAGAGAAAGAGGAGAAAGGAAAGCAGAAGAGAGGAAGCCCCCTGGCCAGTCAAGATATTGAAAGCTACTTGCTCAAAAAGATGTGAAGGGTCGGTGGAGTGCTAGTACAGCAGGAAAGGTGCTTGCCTTGCGCGCAGCCCACATGATTTAGTCTCAGGAATTCCATTTCGTCCCCCCCACACACACCAGGAGTGATTCCTGAGGGCAGGTAGAGTCAAGAGTTACCCCTGAGCACTGCCAGGTGTGCCCCCCAAAAACACAACCCCCCAAAAGTAAAAAAGAGAAAAAATCAAAGAGAGAGAAAGAAGTGAAAGGGGAGCAGGAAAGGGGTATGTGTTTAAGTGGGAACATGAGCTCGAAAGAGCGAGCAAGCAAGCAGAGACATAGGAAGATACAAGTTCAGGGGAAACACGGACTCGAAGAGCAAGCAAAGAGAGAGAGGAGCAAGGGAGATTAAGGACACGGGCCTGAAGAGCAAGCCCAGAGCCAGTTTTTAAATCTGTTTTGGATCTCAGCCTCTTGGGAGGATTGTTGTTGCCAGCAGGTCCATCAAGGTTCTGTTGTTGGGGGAGCAGAAAGTCCCAGGATTCATTGAAATTCTTTTCCTTCCCTCTCCTTTCCCTCCTGGCAGCTCTGGCCATTTCTCCGTTCATTCTCTGCCTCCCTCCCCCGCTCCCCTCTCTTTTCGAAGCTCTCTCTTCTCACCACCCCATTGAAGTTCCTCAGGCGGTTCCAGCTGCCTCCTACAGAGCTTTGCTAATTTGGCTGGTGTGTGGTGAATATACAATTCCATCTCTCCTTTTGTGGTCAGGGAATGAGGATCCATTTCAAATTGACCAGAAGAAAAAGTTCCCCAGGCCTGAGAACTAGCACAGGGGTGAGGTGTTGGCCTCATGTACCGTGCACCCCAGTTCCATCTGGGAGCCACCCTTGAGCACAGAGCTGGGAGCAACTCTGGTGTGACTCAATCCCCAATCCCCAACAAAGAGTGAATGCTATGGCAAATAGCCTGGAATGTTTCTGGGATTAACTCTCTCAGGAGAAAAAATTATAGTACCAGAGAGGCAGTACAGGAATTAAGATGCTTGCTTTGTGCTGGGCAGGAGCAATAGCACAACGGGTAGGGCATTTGCCTTGCGTGCGACCCATGCGCACGAGTTCTATTCCTCTGCCCCTCTCGGAGAGCCTGGCAAGCTACCGAGAGTATCTCGCCCGCACAGCAAAGCCTGGCAAGCTCCCCGTGACGTATTCAATATGCCAAATACAGTAACAACAAGTCTCACGATGGAGATGTTACTGGGCCCGCTCGAGCAAATGGATGAACAACAGGAGGACAGTGCTTTGTGCTGGCTTCCACAGCACAGATACTAAAATTAAAATGACACAGAGATTAGTATGCCCCCTGCAAAAGAATGACACACAGATTTTGAAGCGTTCCCTAATAAAAAATACCCTGCTGCAGACCCAGATTTGATCCCAGAACACAGTCAGCAGTGGGGGCTGGAGAGATAGTGCAGAGGCAGGGCGGGGCACTTGTCTTGCATGCAGCCAACATAGGTTGGACCCCCAGCATATCATATGGTTCCCTGGGCCCACCAGGAGTTATTCCTGAGTGCAGATCCAGGAGTAGCCCCTGAACACTGCCACGTGGGCACCCCAAACAAAACAAAACAAAACTCCCCAACTAAACAACCCCCTCCCCCAAGGACAGCCAAGAGTGACTCCTAAGTACTGTTGGACATAGCACATAGTACCGACTCTCCCAAATAGAAAACATTATAAATGTCTACATGTTTCCAGGGTCACACGTCTCTCTTGGTACGCTATGCTCTAATCTGCTGCTTTCTTTCTTTCTTTCTTTCTTTCTTTCTTTCTTTCTTTCTTTCTTTCTTTCTTTCTTTCACACCAGGCAATGCTCGGAAGTTACGCCTGACCCTGCACTCAGGAATCATTACTGGCAGTGCTCAGGGAACCATATTGGGCTGCCAGGAATTAATCTTGGATTGGCCACATGCAAGACAAATGTCCTACCCACTATATTATACTACCCAGACCCTTTTGTAGGATTTTTATTTATTTCATTTATTTATTTATTGAATAAAGTTGTTCATGATGATTTGTTACAGACATTCAATACTCCAACACCAATCCCTTCATCATTGCACCTTCCTACAACCATTATTTCCAGTTTTCCCAACCACCCCTTGAGCCTGTCCCCTGGGACTTTATTATTTATTATTATTACTATTATTATTATTATTTTGCTCTTTGGGTCACACCCGGCGATGCACAGGGGTCATTCCTGGCTCATGCACTCAGGAATTACTCCTGGCAGTGCTCGGTGGACCATATGGGATGCTGGGAATCAAACCCGTGTCAGCTGCATGCAAGGCAAACACCCTACCCGCTGTGCTATTGCTCCAGCCCTATTATTATTTTTTTATATTGGAGTACTGCTATTTATTTAGCCACTGATTAACTGATTGATTTGGGCATGAACTCCACCTTTTTTTTATAGTTTTTATTTATTTTTCTTCTTATATTTATTTTCGAATCACTGTGGGAAAAGTTACTAATCTTTCAGGTTTAAGTCTTGGTCATACAATGATCAAACACCTCTCCCTTCACCAGTACTCATTTTTCACCACCAAGAACCCCAATATACGCCCTCCCACCCCTCCCAATGCCTGTGAGGGAGATGATTTCCACTGAACTCTTCTCTACATTGATTACATTCATTATTTTGACAAAAGATGCACCATTATTGTTTAGAATTTCCCCCTCAACAATCAGAATTGCTGAAAAGGCATTGTGAAATACTTTATTTTCTATAGCTGGTTATGAGAATCATATAATGTTGTGCGGGTTTTTGGATTTCTGCAAAGAGCCAGATAATTACGAGATTGGTTTCTGTATGTCTGGTGTTATTGCTGTGCCAGAGAGCCACTCGTGGGGGGCAACTGGTGACCTCGGTAGGGCGTGAAGGACGAGCCGGTACTGCCCTCCTTCCCATGAGACTGCAGTTGCCCCGTCACTGCTGGCTCATACCTGGCTTTTCTATAAGCTCTGAGGTGGCAGCCACCTTGCTGCCGGGGGCGGGGGGCAGGCGGAAGGGAGCAACACCCTTTCCCTCCTGGGGAGGCATGGTGCCATAGTTTAATGGATGGTCCATTCACTTTTCTGCTGCAAGGTGCTGGGCTCTGGGTTAAGTCCTTTTGCCTCTGGAGCCATGACTGTGCTGGAGAGCCGCTTGTCTGGGGCAACTCGTGATCTCGGTAGGGCGTGAAGGACGAGCCGGTACCACTCCCCTTCCCGTGAGACTGCAGTTTCCCCATCACCACTGGCTCATACCTGGATTTCCAATAAGCTCTGAGGCGGCGGCCACCTTGTATGCGGTCCAGATGCATTTCTGCCAAAAGCCGCTGGGTTTCGAGATTTGTTTCTGAGTCTCTGGGATCATGGCCGTTAATCAGTTTGATCAGGAGCCAGAGAGGCCGTTTGTAGGCGGCGACTCAGGGTCTTGTTGGGATGGAGAGGAAAGGGCCGGTTCCACCCCGTCTGGCAAGGCCCCGTTTGTCTCATCACTGCAGGCCCAAACCTGACTGTCCAGTGGCCTCTAGAGGATGGCGGTCACCGGGCCGCCAAGAGGAACAGGCCAAGGCACGAAACCTATTCTCACCTGAAGTGGCCCAGCCCCAGTAACCTACTGCAGGAACAGAACGCATTTCTGCTAAAAGCCTTTGGGTTCTGAGGTTCGTTTCTGAGTCTCTGGGATCATGGCCGTTAAGCAGTTCGACTAGGAACCAGAGAGGCCATGCCTCCAATTATATAGCTGAGCCGGATGTGTTTTGTGGGTGTGTCTCCCGCATACCTAACTTTTGGCCGTTTACTTTCTTGGTAAACTTTGCCCCAAGTTTTTGGGGTCTGGCCAAAGGCACAGCAGCAATTTTTGGGTATCTGAAAGTCTGATGGTGCCATCAGGCTGCTGATGCACTCGCTTCACAGGTACAGATTGACTTTCTGGTGGCACCATACAGCCTTCCCCTGGGACTTTAAAAGGAACACATTTTGGGGCTGGATAGATAGTACAGTGGGTAAAGTGCTTGCCTAACATGAGGCCAACCCAAGTTCTATCCCAGGCACCCGTATAACCTGCAAGCACTGCCAGAAGTGAGGAGTAAGTTCTGGCCACTGCTGGTGTGGCCCCACACAAAACAAACAAATAAACAAACAAAAACACCCCCCCCAAATCCACCACGTATTTCTAGACAATAAAGCAATAAAGATTTTTTAAAAAAGATGATAGGTAAAACCTCAGTGTTTTTTGGGGGCAGTTTTTTTGGTTATTTCTGGCCACAGTCAGTGGTGCTCAGGCCTAACTCCTGGCTCTCCACTCAGGAATCATTTCTGCTAGACTTGGGGGACCATAGGAGTGCTGGGAATCCAACACGGGTCAGCCGCGTGCGAGACAAATGCCCTGCCTGCCGTGGTCTCTCTGGTCTGGGGTGGTGGGGAGGGTTTTTAAAATTGCCTTGGCTCAGACTAATTATCCAGATTTCTGAAGGATGGAGCCCAAGTATAGTTCTTCTAAAAATTTTGATGATAACATAACTAGAACATGCATTCAAGTCTGTGAATCTTAGCACTAAATCATTTCTCAGGCTATGCCTATCTTTTATACTCTTTTCTTTTTTTATCTTTTTATATATATATATATATATTTGTTATTCAGTTCTTCCATAATTAAGAATTGAGCTCATGTCTATTGGTTAGAGGAGAGGAACGGGTGCCAATTGAGTTAGATATTCCTTTTTTTCTCGCTTGCTGTTGAACCACCCACGTGGTGTTCAAGGATTTCTCCTGGCCCTGGCTCTGTGCTTGGAGCTGCCTCATGATTGGGCTTAGTCTGGTGGGGAATCCCACATGTGCTCCGGTCCATTGAACAACATCTTTGCTTGTTTGTTTTTAGGCCACGCCTGGTGGTACTCAGGTGTAACTCCTGGCTCTGCACTCAGCAATCACTCCTGGTGATGCTTGGGGGACCCTATGGGATGCTGGGGATTCAACTTGAGTTAGGTGCATACAAAGCAAGTTCTCTAGCCCCTGTGCGAGTTCCTAAATAACGTTGTTCAACATTTTTGCACCTACGGTCCAGCACTAGTCCTGCATACTGGTCCACAGAAGTTATAACCAAGGCAGTAGACTAGTGGTTTTCAACCTTTCTAGAACTGAGGACTTGTGGTAGAAGATCACTGCTTTGGGGTATCTGCTCAGCCAAGAATAAAACACTGTTAGTGAATTTTAGTTTTTGAGCCACACCTGGCAGTGATCAGGGCTCACTCCTGGTTTTGAGCTAAGAAATCCTGGCAGGGCTCAGGGGAGCATATGGGATGCCAGGGACTGAACCTGTGTTGGCCATGTCTGAGGCGAGCACTCTGATCTCTGTAACTATCACTCTGGCCCCATCCTTTTGAGAAGAGGTGAGGGTTACTGACTGATTCAGGTATTTTCAGAGTAGAATTTTAATTTCTAAACTGTGCAACCCTCAACGAATTGGTGAATAAAGTGGTTAACTAGAGACATGAAACAGAACACTGAACGACAAAATCAAAATTGTTTATTTTTATTTGTTTTTGGGCCACATCCAGTAGTTCTCAGGGTTTATTTTTGGCTCTGCACTCAGGGATCACTCCTGGTGGAACTCAGGGCAAGTGTTTTACCCTCTGCACTATTGCTTTGGCCCCAAGCCAAAATAAAAATTCTGAATACAAAAGTTGGCTGCAAACGTTGGTGTTTATGTGCATCTGTGCTTCTAACTTTATTATAATTCCTCTTCGCATCATTTCCTGAGTGCTTGCATTACAAGTATTTTAAATTTGTTAATTCATTTAATCTCTCGGTCAGAGAATTGTTGTAGACAGTTTGCAGATGATGACTCTGAAGTGCAGAAGCAGTTAAGTCAGAATAAATCTATGGCAGAATCAGGCTCTCTGAGGCTGGAGCCTGCTGTGATCACTGTACCACACTGCAGAGGTCTTGGGAGAGACTTGGAAAGAGCACGGTAAAAGGTGTTCTGGGAGGGCTGACTGTCTCATCACTCAGCCTCAGTTACCAGTTGCACGGACTCTGGCCAGTGGAGAGGTGTTTGGGGAAAGGCTCTGCTCCCGAGAAGGGCTGATCAATAGAAGCGGGAAGGGTGAGAGCATCACGGGGCAGCCTCGCCCAGTCCTCCCCCTTCCCCGGCTGCAGCTTCCAGCCACAGTGAGCAAGCAAAACAGGCTGTGAGGAAGTGCCTGGTGCATCACTCTAGGGCAGTGAGGCCTAAGAGAGGGGGGATGGAAGAGATACCACCGAATGATGAGCATGGTGGATGAGAGGGGGTGAGGAGGGGGATGTTGCTGAGGTTTTGAGAGGTGAATCTGCAAATGTTAAGATTTGTTGATCCA